ACACATATATATACATACATACATATATATATATATATATATATATATATATATATATATATATACACGTATATTTGAAAATTTGATCCCCAATTTTTCTCCACGCTTTGAATCTTCTCTCCCCGATATTAATTTTAATTGATTCTGTAAGACTTCTATTTTTAAGAATTTTTTTACTTATATTTTCAACATTTTATTATTTATTATATTTTATTATTCAATATTAGTTATTTTAATAATCAAACTTCCCGAATTAGAATTCGTATAAAATAAAGCCGCATATAGATAAATTTTGCTCAAACCTGGGTATCTGGTCAACCATCGACAAAGTAACCCCCACGCGGGCCAAAGTCAATAGGTAATATTGCCTGTTTAGAGCGAGCCAGCCGGCCGTGGAGAATGCTCCTCGTTCAAAATGAAACACCGTGCCCTCCCCACGTATTTCAGTTCCTCTTTCGTTCGGTCACCACGTCCGTTTGTATTCCATAAATTTTGCACCGCTAATTATGGTAAATATGTAAACAATGTCGTAAAGTAATAGCGTTAATTATTATAAATTGATACCTAATAAAATTGATGCGCAAAAAACTGGTAAAAGAATTACGCGCGCGAATAATTTTCAATTATATATTTGATCACAATGAGCGGTAATATATATTTTTCGTAATATTTAATTATCTGCAATAAATGATTTCAACTTTTACGCTATATTTGCGCTATATGTGAAGTTTCCAGTTTTATAATTAATATTAATTATCGAATACAAATAAAATAAGTAATAATAAAATTTCATATTTTGAAGAATGCTGACTACATTTTTACCATGAATTGCAGTAATACATATTTATATTTTTAGCGGTTATATATGTTTTTATGTTTTTAAAAGAAATAAATCTTATCAATCTAATCAATATTATCTTTGTTGATAAAAAAAAATATTTATAGATTGCAATATGTCTTATAATTGTGTAGAAAAAAAATTTAAATTTTGCCCATAATAATATCTGATCTCCATTATTTATGTATATAACCATTTACTACTATTTATTACCATTTAATCTTTAGTTATGCATAGTATAATCTCTTAAAAATATTTTAATATTATAAAGAATGTGATAAATATGTATCAGATAATATTCATATACATTATTCTCATTTTTATCTTTTTTTTATCTTTTTTTTTGGTAAAAGAATCTATATACATATGTTATTTCATAGCAACTACTTGCAAGGTCTACTTGTTACAAAATATGTACACCATATAAAACCGCGGGGTTCTTACGGTGAGAAATATTACTTAAGTGCGCAAGCAGCTTAAGTAACATATTGCATTTTTTAGTGATACATCTCGGCCAAGTTTTTTTCAAGCACGGGTAACGTTTCTTAAAAGCACCCATTGTTAACACGGCTAAATATTAATCCATCCCGGGGTTAGATGCTCAATTAGAAAAATTCCTCGGGAAAGTCGCGAAGATAAAACCATCCTCTGTTTCTAGCCGTCTTCATCTCGGCGAGATATACACCGTACTTCGCGGATGAAACTCTTTCGAGAACAAGTATTCGTCTCCACTCTTTCTTACGCTTCTCTCCCAGTGTCGTCAACGACATTCGCACGACTCACAGTCGTCTCGCTTTCAACATAGTCTCGGATTCTAAACGAAGACCGCGAAAATGGGGAGAGAGGCACGATGGAGCGCCTCGCTGAAATTAGAGTAGGACCTCCCCTAGATCTGAAGAGCCTGGTTCAGCGCACTCATCAGCAATGCGACCTCTCCAATTTTCGCCGGCTCTTCTCTATACCGTGATTTCATCCTCCCTTCCGCCTCCCCCTTCTTCCCATCGTCTATCACCTGCGTTCTCGTTTCCCTATCTATCTTTACCTATCGATTACTACCGCCGCGGTACCACTGTTTCGAATGTAAAAGCGCGATTAATTAAGTGCCGTGAAAGTAATTAATTGCTAGTTAATTTTACGACAATAATTTAAGTGCAATCTCCAATAAACTATGTATATCTCGCAATATATAGATAATAATATTACGCCGAATATTGCATTGATAAGGCGTCGGATGTGCATTCTATTAACAATAAGTTATATTAGTACAACTATATATTACTGTGTGCTACGTGCCGCAATAAAATGATAAAGCAATATACGTTGGAATGAATTATAATAATCTATCGTACTAATTATCCGTGATTATACATAGCTTCTCACATATTCCGCATTACTATTTTGCTTCAAAATAATTTGCGATATTTTACATTAAATAGAACATTACGTATATGGCATTAAATATATTATATTATATTTTATATTATAATGTTATAAAATATATTATATATTATATTATATTTTATATATTATATTCTATAATCAGTCATATTACATTCCATATATACTTTGTTATAATTTTATGTAGTTTACTTATTGTTAGCAACGTGAACTAACTTCTGATACTAACTAAAGATGTTTTGGAATAAGTTCATGATAGTTTATGGTGGATGTTCTTGCGGTTAAACATAGTTTCGAATATATTGCGCTTTAGGCTATCTCGCTGTAGTTTATCGTAAGTTACCAGATATTCCTTATAATAGCGCATTTCATGAAAAAATATTATATTAAATTAATATATATACATATGTATATATACTTCATAATATAAAAATTACAACAATATGTATATATTTTACCAAATAAATCATTTTATTTCAAATATATTTTGCAATATATTATCTATTATATCAAATGGAAAATTTAAAAATAATATTTTTACTAAATTTATAAAAAATAATATAATATTTTTTATCGCCATAAAAAACCATTCCATATCTGAACGAAATATATTTCGTACTAAATTATTTCAATAACCGATATTTTGATTAAATGGAAATCATGACAAATTTTGCCTATGGCAAAGTAATTCCTGCAATTTTCGTTCGAATATAATTTGCAAAAAATTGCTCTCTTCTAAATAAATACTATACTCGATGTGCCACGTCGATCGAATGTACTACTGTGCTTTAAATGATCTCGATGCGGATACAGCCAATGCGGTAAGCAACCTCAGCTCGAATATTATTTCGCATACATCACGAACGCGATCGGTGGAGCGGAAATGCAAGCGCAATTAATAGAACGGCTGGAAATATTCCGTTGATATGAATCCCTCGTTATACTGCATTAATTCTTGCCGCTCCTCTTTCAGCGAAGGGCAGAAAAGGAGGAAGGGGGGAAGGGCAGAAAAGAGGAAATCGAGACATCACGAGAGGACGGAGCGGCTGCTGCACTCCACGTACTCGTAGCGAGTGACTGCGCTCTCCAAGATGTTGACGTTTAAGCGCCTACTTGAAGAGATGGTCTTCTTCAACGAAATCGTGTCGCATTCTCCTAACCTTTCACGGAAGCTGCGCCAGACTAACGATCTTTTCGTCGAGTAGCCGAATACACCGCACCGTTTTTATCTCGCGAGTGTTACACATCCTGCGACGATATTGTACCGCTATCGCTATTAGATTCGTTGCAATAGATTGAAATAATCTTTATCTCGATTTTAATTTTAATATTTATATATTATTTGCAATATTTATTTTATATCAAATAATTATTACGTGCTGTAATATCATTTCAAGATAATATTTTATATTAATTTACGATAAGTATGTTAAATATTTAAATTAATATTTTTTTAGAAATATAATTTTAATTAATTATAATATTGATTAATTTTACTTCTTTTTCCTCTCTCCCTTTGTATATATATTGTACATATATGTAATGATATAAACATATGTACACATTCAATATTTATTCAATTTTTCCTAATTTTAACAGCAAAATTTTCAATAGCAAATATACATAAATATAATTTGTTGTTAATAGAATATTGGAACATATATTTGAAATCCTTGCATGTATTAATTATCTCTAGGAATATCTATTTTATATTTGCATAGTACCTATTTGTGTGAGAAACACATGACATAAATGTGAATATTACAGTCCTATAATTATATAGCAATTATATAGCAACTCTATGTAATTGTGTCGAGCAATATGGCTGCATTGAATAATCCGATAATTATTGGAAAAAGCAGACATTATACACATGACAATTCCAATATAATGTAATTATGAGACGAAAAAAATTAATAAAAGTGTAACCAACCGGAGTTACGCAATATCGAATTTTAAACAAATTTCTGACGAATTTTTAATTTAAAAATTTATTGTATTTAATATTTATTAATATAATTATTAAAAAATATCTTATTTCATATAAATTTCAATAATTATTACTTTGCTTTAATTTGAACAATTGTCCGTATAAAAAAAATCTGCACGATTAATATTTCCTGAATATTATTAGTTCAATATATTGTGAATTTAATGCTTTGATGACAAAAATTAAATAATATTAAAAAAGGATAATCGATATCGATTATATATCACTTTTAAATATCACTCAAGAAAATGTTCTGCTGATGCAAATAGATTTGTAGGGGTAACCAATAAAAATTTATTGCTATTTTTTGTATTTAATATCATCACATGTGGAATTTACAGCAGCAAATTCTAATAGTAATTTCTTTAAGCAAATTTATATATTTTGTCCCATTGCCAAATATTACTGCATTGGATAAATATGAGTTTCAATACTTCGGTTAGAATAATCTTTGTGAGAAATGAATTTTTCTATTGCACCACAATCAAATTTTATAACAAATATGATTAGCTTTAACACGGATATATTGACACCACAAAAAGATTTTCCCTTTAAATTTTACTAACAGTTTAAATATAATATAATTATGTTTCTATCATTTAGATTTTAGATTGAAAAGTTAAGTGCAAAATATATGTGATATCACAGTATTTGCTAATCATTTATTTATCTCAATTAATTTTTCATATCCAGAAAATTATTATAGTACAAGACCATTTTTTTGAGTGATGATACATATAAATATTTCAAAGTGTGAAAGATTCTTTGACTCACCCCAATTTGTTGACTGGATGTTGTCGCAAACGAACCCTTTAGCGATGTCCACAGCACGCTGCTTCATGATCGGTCAGATCATCCTCCTCCTTGCGCGACGTTCTCGTCCCATGCAGACGCATCCTGGAGATCCTTTGGCAATTCTCACGTCAACCGATTGCACACTCGCGAATTTCACAATCGCTGCTTCCGCAAAATTACCGGAGCGTGCGCGATCCTGGCGTTCAAACACGGCGGGAATTCGAATATGGACGCCAGACGCGGTGACAGAGCGACTCACTTCACGCGGTTCGCGCGATCACATTGGAATAATTTAATGCATCGTCCCGTAACTTTCGAGAGTTCGTGTAAAGCAACATACAAAAGCAACTCGCGAAAGTCTTCCGAATAAACACGACGTAATATTTATCCACTCGAACGTTCGTACTACGAAACGAATAATGAAGATCACGAAAATCCCGAATCTCCCGAAACGAACAATTACACGAAAATCCCGAATCTCCCGAAACGAACAATCACACGAAAATCTCGAGCTTTGATCTGTGATAATATATTGCGTAATATGTCGGGGCTGTCCTATAATAAAGAAAAAACGGAGTCAATTAAAAATATGACACAATAATGCAATTGGTAATTGTCGCCATCTTGATTCGTTACGCAGTTTACTTTAACTGACATGATGCAATAGAGATGCGTTCAATGTGCACAAATAACTCAATTTTGCCGCGAGAATAGCACACGAGACACAATCGCGAAGCGAAGGAAATCGAAATCATGCCGAGGAGATCTTTTTTATCAAGAAAAATTTCAAAATAATCCATACCTTTCTCGTGCGTCGTACTTGACCGATGATAACGCGTCTCCGAATGACAGACAGCTTCACGGCCGACACAGTCACTGCATCTTCACGTCGTGGGCGCGAATCACGTGACACTCACAGAACGATAGCCTCTCTCTTTCTCTCTCTCTCTCTCTCTCTCTCTCTCTCTCCCTCCTCTCCCTAACCCGACTTAAAATCTGATCGAAGAACAAACGTTTCAAAATACGAACTATTAAGTATCGATATCGTGACGCGATCGCGAAACCCGAACGCGCAATAATTTCGCGGGCTTCTTTCGCTCCTCCTTCTCTCCGACGAGAAGAGCTGCAAAAGATATATAAGAACACAGGAGATGCGCGCGTCCCGGCGGCTGCGCGTGTACTACACTCGCTGCCTTGTGCTCCGCGTTTCCCCTCCCAGATACTCCCCCTTCCCCAACGACCGCCGTACGCCGCGACGCGTACGGGACTCTATGCTCCGTCTCGCTCTTGTTTTGTTTACGTTTCATTCGTCTGATCTGCGCGTCTTGTCTCTATTTCGAAAGCTTTTTCAACTTTTTTCTCGCATTCCTTCGATGACGAATCTACAACGTATGTGTGTCGTTTCGCGATGCTCGCGCAGAAAGTCGATTCACGCAAGTAATAACGTATGAATGAAAGCGAAGAGATAATTTTCGTCTTACCATGTTCGCTAGAGAATAATAATGCGTGAAAGAAAGAGAGAGAAACATATCTGAAGCTTTTCTTTGGTTTGATATATAATTTTGGCTGCGGTCGAGAAGACGCTCTAGATGCTTTGAAACATTCTATCTTTGTTCTACATTCCATAAGAATAAAGATAGAATGATGTTTCGAAGCATTCATAGTGCAGTCTTGACCGCAGCCTTTGTCACATTTTATTCAGTACGCTAATTGACGTCGTAATATCTGTAGGTTATAGAAAATATATCCGTGCGTTCGAAAATCTAGTCATGAGAACAATGACGTTTGATTGACCAATCAAGAGCAAAAAGTTCCTCTGTCCTGATTGGTCGATCAAGTGTTAATCTATACGAATAGGTTTTCGTAATTATGCACCCGTTGGTATACCTGCGAAAAATATGAACCGACAATTTCATACCGACGCACATCGTTGACATCTCCGTGACGTATATATGTGTTATGTATCCGAGTATATCGTCGAAGAGTCGATAATTAACGTTGTGTATCACGATTAATCGAGAAATTAGCTCGACTTGCACTTCCGAGCCGCGTGTAATATACTCATACGTGTAAATGTACGCAATATTATATGCAGTGTTTCAATGACTCGACACGAAATGAGGTTATAATAAATATCGAATGATACGGTTGATTGCGATCGCGAATATTAACGACGAAAATTCAACAATCAATTTCAAGCTTCATGTGTTTATAAAATTCTCCTTCGACTTGCAACAAGTGCCAACATTTCATCGAATATTGGAGCGAAGAGCTGTCACCGGAGAAGTCGACAACAAAATCAGTAAGTACCAGCATTTATTTTATATTTATAATTTCATATTAATAATAAGATGTTCGTAATCTCAGAATATTTATTATCTCAGAATATGTATTTTTATAATAAATTAGCGTGTATTCTGAATAAATCTGCGCGATTAATATTTCTTGAATATCATTAGAAAAATGAATCATTATTCAACTAATGAATAAATTAACTTATACATTTTCATGTATTTTGTACACAAAATTATTTATTTATTATAAATAATATTTAATTTGTAAAAAATTAAAAATTTTTTACTTTTACTGAATTTAGTATATCAAATATGCAAAATATAATAATAATATCTTTATTACGAACTAAATTATTAATATGAGATAAAGAAACATATTTGTTAAAATAAACAATTAATTGGATAAAGTGTTGGTGCTATATATACATTATAATAATTTTACAATTTTAAAAATATGAAAATATTTTATCTCATTTTTAATATTTTTTTTTAAGCGAGTACTCCAAAGCTTATATTAATTTGATAAGCTTATATTGATATTTCTGCTCGACAAAATTATGTATATATTTTTCTCTGCGATATGTGAGATATAACAATAGGATATATTCATGAGATTAACATTACTTATGTTTATGTGATAATATATATCTCGCGCAAAGGGTCTGTTACGTGACCTCCAGATTTCCGCTCGAATATCATCGAGCCTTCCATTCTTGCATCCCAGACGTCTCGACATGCATTTTACGCAACATCTGCGCGGAAAAACGTGAGTCTCGTCTCGTCACGTCAACGACATAAGACGCGCTTTGCGAGCGGTCGAATCCCATGTAAAATAAATTCCACATCTACGTATGATTTTCCTCAAATATCACTTGTCGCATTTCCTCGATTTATTTTATTTGCGGATGCGAGAGATTGTTTTCCGACAACAGTAATTTACAAACGTTACGTTATACGAGCTTACGTTACCATCTATTACAAATTATTTTAAATTAATATGAAATTATAATAATGAAGAAATGCATTTCATTTTCCGGGTTTCTGTACAAAATAAATGTTTTTGATGAAATTAATATTTTTTTTAAATGTGAAATTTTTTAATAAAAACTTTATGATATTTAAAATCAAAATATATTTCAGAAATATTTATTTTGCATGTATTTATTTTTATTTCGGCGCATCTAACAACTTTGGCAGCGGTTGTTTCGGGGTATAACTGTACTATCAATGCGTCGGGAATTATAATCGAAATAATAATAAAGTGGAAATTGCGAGGCGCGATATGAAACCGAACGGCGCGATAATCCCATAAAAAAAACCGTAATCGAAGAAGACAATATGTACGAGACCTTAAGAAGTCAACGAGGTTTGCGATAGGATTATACGTTATATATGCGAGAGCGGGTACCACAAGGAGAGTAGCTCGAATATGTACCTAAGTATATATCGAGTATTGAACGTGCCCTTGAGGAATAGTATACGGTCGGGCGGGTAGGCTAAAGACGAGAAAGACGACGGAAAAGATGGAGAAGGAAGGAAAAGGCGATCGAGATTGAATTATGGTTCGCGGCTTAAACGCCGGATTCAAATCGATCTCATATATCACATTACCTGACACCTTTATTCTCCTTTCTGCGGCCGCATCTCGCCTCCGTTCCTGGGACACCCTATTGTTTTACTTCTGTCTCTCTCTCCTTCGCTCTCTCGTTATTCATCGCGCACGCAACCAGATATGAACGTTCACGACGCATACGGAATAATATGCGTTAACTCTGGACAATGCAATCTCTTGTTCGTGTTATACAACGGATGATTATATATGTTATCTTTTAATATCAATTTCAATGATTTTTCGATTTTGTTAATGTTTTAAATTAATTCATCTTGCTTTTAACACATAAGCTTGCGCGTATATTTTCTTATAAAATATTTCAAAATATATATTATATTTAATATAAAGATCTTTAAATTTTTTATTATTTATACATAATGAGAAATCGTGTAATTGTTTATTAAATTTTTATAATTTATAAAAAGTCATTTTGCAATATTATTCTTTTTCAATGTTTAAACTTATCATTCATTAATCAGAAAGTTCGATTCTCTCTCTCTCTCTTTCTCTTTCTCCGACGATAAATTTATCGGAATGTCTTACGCATCGCGTTGCACTTTTATCGAGCATAAAGTTTTAAAATCGCGAGAAAAAGAAGAAAAGTACAGATATTTCGGAAACAAATGTGTCATCATATATCGAAGCCCACAGTTTTGTACTCATCGGCGAACAGAAACAAAAGTTAGCCGGATGGAAATATCGTTCGATACCTGTCAAATATAAACCTACCGTAACAAATGCCTCTTCCATTGTTCACGTACAGGCAAATATAAAATCTTCTTATTGTTAGTCCCTTTTTCCCTTCCACACATATACACACACACATACAAAATATATTTATATTAAAATTTCAAATAAAAAAAAAATAAAAATTAAATAATATATAATATTCAATATAATGTTAAATAAATTTTAAAATAAAACAATATAAATAAATTCATTAAATGTCATAAATATTCTATTTAAAGAAAATCCTTTAATAATTTATTAAACACAATTCATATCTTGCGCATAATTTTTCGAAACTTTATTATATTATGTGTGTGTTGAGAGAGAGAGAGAGAGAGAGAGAACATTCAAAAATATTGTTTTCGTGCATGGGAATAAACCATAAATCATTACCAGGTATAATCAAAAGGGTAATATAACTCGCTTTTACTGTGCTTTCATTCGCCGACAATAATCTTAATATTAATGTTCGAAAAGTCGACTTATTATCAACACTGATCATAATTCAACGCAATCACGCGCGTACTAACGGGCCAATTTTTCTACGCCGGACGCAGAAACTGCCGAGAAGAATTCGCTATTACGTTGTAGCGGCTACCCCTTTCATCTCTCCCACGCGCGCGATAATTTTCTCGTGTTTACGGTCTGTGAAACATCCTATCGTTTTTCTTGCCACCAGGCACGCAAAAAGAAAAATCCGTATTACGGAATCGCGAGAAAGGACGGGCGAAAAAATTGAAGGGAAAAGCATACGAGACTGGAAACGCCGTCAATCGCGTATCCGCGCGATACACGCTTCTGCATTCGTGTGCATAAGTGTGTGTGACGCAGGAATCGGATCGGATTGCGTTAATCGGCCGAGTGCGTGCGTATCGAAAACGATCGACAAGATTTAACGTCAATAACACATTCTATTTCTATAAATTTACCGTTTATATTATTCGAGAAGTAAATTTTCACACGAGTGACGCGAAATAAACTCGAGATTGATCCGCGTTCGATCTTGTGTTTCGAGAAAGAAAGAAGAAAAGAGACAAAAATAGAAAAAAAATATTTAAAAATATTTTATTATAAATCATATGCACAAAATCTCGTACGAAAAATATCTATAGAATACAATCGATGTACATGACTTGATCTTAAAATAACGTGATCTTAAAATATCATTAAACCTTACTGTATATTCTCTGAGTATCCGCTTGAACGAGTTCCAATGCGTTATTTTCTCGCGTTTATCACAAACGAGATTCGTGCGCTACGTAAATCCATAAATTTTAAACGCACTCTAATCAACGGCTGTTTCATTTCCATTGAGACGTTTTATTGCTCGGTTGTGCGCTCTCTTTGCCGAACGATATATCTAGAGATACTATGTTACATTACCGCCGCATACCAGGCTTACACATCGATCGTATATCGTATTTCTTCTTATCTTTATGCTTTCCACGCGATCTTGTAAATCGGACCGGTACTGAAAATGAGGCTTCTTATTCCATATTCCGTTTTGTAGTCTCTGTT